TGCTGCCACTGGGTCTGGCACCACTGTCCTGCTATGGCTTGCCCCAGAGGCTCCTGCCTCTCTGTGCAGAGACATCTCATTTTCGGAAAAAGCAAACCTCCAACAAAAGTCTCATTAGCTTTCGTGTGGGAATGGCTGAGGGCAGGAGCAGACCAGCACAAGGGACAAAAGGGCACTACAGCCATCTGTGGACCAACCACCACCTCCGTCAAGAGTGCTGACATTGTTCCTTCTCTCTTTAAAGAACACACATAAAATGAATAAATGACTTTAACAACCCTAAATGTAAGGTGAAATCTCTCAGAATAGCAAAATTACATATTTTTACTCATCTCTCTATTTACCAAATGAGCAAGAGTTCCAACTTCTGCCTTGAACTAAAGCATGCCCTTGCATACATTTGATTTCCCAACTAGACTATGTTTGCCACAAGCTTAACCTAGCTGGCATGTTTGGAGATTGCCATGACACCTTTCTAGGACAAAGTACAGCTGGTGAAAACACACTATCTGCTTGAATAATTCCAACGTCTGGTTGTCATTTCTGTAGACTAACTAACCACCTTAAACAAACAAGCAAACTTTGGCACTCTTCCCGTTTAGGAAATGCTAGCACTTCTGTATCACAAATATCTTCTTTATCGCAAGTTTTGAAAAATAGCATTTAAAATCTTAGGTCATAAAAATTTGCTTTATGATATACTCTTTTGAGGGTACTGGATTTATTCTCATAAAACGGAACACAAACAATAATTACATCTTTCATTGCCCTTTTTTACAGCCTTATCTCACATTCTAAGCTACACAAGAAGACAACGATTTCCCAAGGGAATTAGTTTTCCTTTTAGACGAGGATCTCTGAAAATTAGTATCACTATTCCAAACACCAATCCCTATTCTTAAAATCCGAACACAAATGACAGGCAGCAGTAATCAAAATCACTAAAGAGGTCCCTCTGGGTTTTCCAGCGCACGACCTTGTTTCCATTATCAGAGTTCCAGTATCCCGTTTAGGGCTGCAGAGGGTTTCTTGACAATGTGCAGAAGCACCTCCTTCAGATTTTATATTCCCAGGTGCTGGAGAGAAACACACAGCAAACAAAGGCATACTGTAGGGTGTCATTCTGTACTCTGCAAATATCTAGAGTCAACAAAAACACACGTGCAATATATCCACCAATACAACAGCCATGATATAACCACTCGCCTTTCTCTGAAATCCTTCTAGCTGGGGCGCGGGATAAGGGCAAAGAAAGCAGAAAAACAGTTAGGATGAAAAATAACTGGCAGCACAAACACAGAAGTAAAAATTATCAGGTGAAAACATAGGAGTAAGGACACCTGCAAACACACTGCCACCCCCAAACAAAACCCCACTACTTTAAACAAAACCACGTAAGTAACAGGGTTTCAGCCACAAACTGAAAATGGCAGGATTGTTTTCAGGATAACAAATATCTTTAATAGTGAGGTGGAGACAGACAAGGTATTATAATACATATAATCTCCAAAAGTAATTTGAATTTTTATTTATTTTAAATTTTATTTTTCTTTTATTATTCAGAGAGGCATAGAAGTTGATTGCCTCCGTGCCACCACCAGCACATCTTAGATCTTGCAGAAACTTTAATACCGAAAAGACTCCTGTTAATGGGTTCATCTCTCACATTTAAAATTAACTTGCTTTTTCACACTATCAATCAAACAGGCACCATTATTCCAGATACCAAATAATCAACAATACCACTGTACTCACCAGCTGAAATACCATTGACAATACCATTTTCATACAAGTTTAGCTGTAGTTTGGCAAAAGCTGGCAAAGCAACTTTTGTAGCATGTTTATGCAACTTCAGCCACTTCAAATCCATAAAAACTTCTTAAAGACACCAGCTGCAAGGGGCTGGTGAGTATTTTACCTTCCTCTATTGCCAGAAGTATGTACTTTCTACTAAAACAAATTACAGGTTGCAAGTTTACAAATAAATAAATTTAAGGCACGACAGATTTACAACCTGAACAAAGAAACTCTCTCTGCACTACACATGGTGGCACAAAGATCAAGTCATACTACCTGATTGTTCGCGGTCCCCTGAGCTCTCAGAAGTGCGTGAGCAATCCATGCTTCCACGTTGAGCAGGGAGCTCGGAAAGCTCGAACCCCACTCAGACCCCTCCTCCTGGAAATGGTTAAATTTGCCAGGTACTGGAAGGTGACCTATTTGATTCTCAACAGCTGAAGGAGCAATACCCTTTAGAGTTCACTAGGGACATTGACAGGGTTGTGCAGCACAAACCCTAAACTTCCCTTTATGTTTACAAGGCAAAGCACCCTAAACAGAATTCAAGCCAGGGGAGCCCAGCTTTACGGAGGCACTGAACACTTTTAACTTCAAATTCTTTCAGCTAGATTCCCCTGCCCCCCTCCCTGAAAGCTATGGGTGCTGAATATTAATGAAGACATTGCTTACATAAAAACTGTATTTAACTGCATGCTACCTTTTGGAGTAACACACAAGAAAACACTGTTTGTGGCCTGCATGTTGGAACAAGGACGTATACAAGGAAATATTTTTTCCTCCAAGAGTATAAAACTGTGGATCTAAGGCTCACCCTTAAAATACTATGTTTCCCTAAATTCAGAATAGCTCAGTAATTTCTTAGGATGACCTGCATTTTCCTCAGTCCACAGAGACCTGTGGATTTGAAAATACATGGCTACATTTTTTTAAAAGATGTAATGAACAAACCGTATGTTTAAATAGATTTTCTTAATGTTACCACACAGTATCAATCCTCCTCCCTTTTGCAAATCTTTTTTCTCTGTATAATGAAACATTCTTCCAAATATCAGTGGATAAAAAAAGCTTTTGGAGAGTGATATTGAAATAGAGCAGTGCTGAGACAGGACATTTAAAGAATTGTTTAGCAAACAGGAAGACTAACACAGAATATCATTCTGGCTCAAAAAAAAAAAAAAAAAAAAAAAAAACCAAACCCAAACCAACAACCCCAAAGAACTGATCACCTACTTCTGTAAAGGAGAAAAAGCACTGAACGCTCCAGTTCTCAATGTGAGATGCAAGCTCTGAAGATGCGAGCCATGCCGCTGCCAGAGGAAGCTGGTGGCATACTCTGCGTCTGGTACCTGCATCGACACAGCATTCCCAGCCAACTCACTTTTCATCTAAGCTGCCTTTGGAGAAACTAGACACCATAAAAACCTCAGTCATCCTGTAACCTGGCACACCATCAAAGCCTCCTAACACACAATTACTGTGCTTCACGCCTTTAGACTTTTTTTCCTTTGACTAAACAAAACCCCCACAATGGAATAAGAAACTTTCCAAGAGAATTGTGTTTGACAGAAGATCAATGATGCGGAGGTGTTGGAGGGAAAAAAGCCAGCGCTGTTTTGTGTACACCTCCAAGCTTATTAATGGCTTGCTGCTAAAGCTAGATGCCCCTTCCCATCAGATCAGTATTTGATATTATTACTGAACTCGGAAGTCTGAGGTCTTCTTTAATCACATTAAGGAGTTTGCAATTGCTTACGCAATACAGTAACTTTATCATGCTGCCTGTAGCTACCCAGCCATTCCCTTAGCTTTTTGCCTTGTCGGCTATAACACTCAGTGAAAACGCAGTGAAATTTGACTCACCCTGTCAAAAACACAAGCTACATATAAATATGAATAACCTACCAAGTAAGCACTCAGCTGCTGCTTTAATGCATTAGCACATGTATAGTTATGCACATGCCTAAAAGGAACTGCCATAAACCTCCATCAAGAAACAAATAAGCTCTTGTGAGTGAAGAAAAAACCGTAAGCCTGCCCAGAAATCTGAATCCTGCTAGTCATCACTTTCAAGGCTCAAGCCAGCATGACAAAGCCTTTTCAAAGAAAGGGTCCTGTGTCAGAGAATGAATCTGAAAGAGACACACTTTATATTCACCTCTCAGGACACCATGGCTTTTTTTAAGCAAGCTGTAAGGGAAGGGGGGGGAGCAGCAGATAATAATTGGCCAAAGGATTAAATAAATAAAATTAAACTTCTTTCACTAGGGGAGTCCAGCATCCCAGTGTTTGTCCCCTAAATCTTTTTATGTAGGTCCTATGCTCTTTCACCTCTGGACAATAGACCACGTGGACTGAGATCACTCCAGAGTTACAGATGCTGGTTAGCCAGCTTCTTGCATCTAAATGACACAGAACTGGTAAATTCTGTTCAGCTGTCCTTCCCCAAGATAACTGAATCCAATCACCTTTAAATGGATACCTTCTCTGTCGACACACTCGGCACTTCAGGTAGTGGACCTTCTTTCTCTACCAAACAGCAGCCTGGCCCTTGTCTCCTGCCTGACACCTACCCTCCACCCTGATCCCCATCTCAATCAGTTCAACCAGAAACTGAAACATGGATTGTTCAAACTGGGCATTTTAAGCACTGCAGAAACAAGTTCCTCTGTGCAGATCAAAAGGGCACAGTGCATGCCAGATGGTGCTACAGCATAAAAACCCCATTGAACAGGACTGAGTCCTTCCAGTGGTGCGGTACAGTACCACAGAGGCAGCTCACCATTCACTGCCTTGAGGCTCCCGCTAATGCCATCGCCGTGCTGCCGCTTCTGTGCGTTCTTGAACTCCTTCAGAGATAAATAAAGGACCTTCCGCACCACCCTCTCCTCTGACCAGGGAATCCCATCGCTGTCATCCTAAAGAAGGAGGAAACGGAAAGGAGACATTATTTGCATGCATCTGAAACAAAAGCAAAACAAACAAAATCCAACAGCCTAGGGCTACACAGATTATTTGTAATTTAAAAAAAACCTGCATAACAAAACACAACTTAAACTCAACCAGCTCTAACAGTGAACAGAAAGATAACTATTATCAAATCAGAGCATTAGTCCCTCTAATCCTTTATCCTGCAAACAGCAGTAGCCATGTACCAGGTGTTAGACAGGAGGTGAAACATTTTTGTTGAAATCCCCATAATGAATCCTTTATGGAGAAATTTATCACAGCCAGGAAGTGCTCTCTCAGATAATTAAGAGGAGGGGGAAGAAAAACCCCCACCACTAAATTGAATGTTGCAGTAATTTAAGAGGCCAAGTTTTCTGAACCAACTTCCCTTGTTGCCATTTTGGCCTTGGTTTGTGCCTACTGGCTCAGGATTTTTTTTTCCTCTGGTTTAGTGATTTGCATTTATTGCAGCGTTACAATGAAGTTGTATATTGATAACAATGAAGATATTCCGAATCTATCTCAGCGTAAAGCAAAGTGGAATTTGGCCCTCGGGGCATATGTTTTCTACTTTATTTTTAGGAGACAAATGCTATATTGTCAAAAGGAATATTAGTGTATGTCATATTTAGTACTCGCTTTAGTTAAAAGATTAATTCCCTGGAAAAGCATTTCCTTAAAGCCTTTAGCATTCAAATAAATTAAGTCAGCAAATTGATATAAAGACACAAGTGAGATCAGGTAAATCATCGTATTTTCATAAGCCCTGTAATTGTCTCGGGGTCTTTAAAAAAAACACTATTTGAGCACTCTTGCCCTTGAATTCCTCAAGGGCTACATCACTGCCAAGCAAAAAGATTAACATTTCTAGGCAGGCCTTATTTAGATAAGTGTACTGCAGCACACTGCCACACTCCACTGGAAACCCCAAAAAGCCTCATCAGCAATCCATGCCAGGAGGCAGGAGAGTTTATACCATCTCCTGTCTCAAAGTGACCAACACCATCAACTTCAAAAAAAAAAAAAATAAGCACAGTTTAAGGTGACCACTGATAGCTTTTTCTTCTCTCTTCTAGTGAGAGATTGGCGTTCAGCTGCTGAATTGTGATCAAAAACACCCCCTCCCCCCCGAAAAAAAACCTGACAAATTGCTTGGGGGTGGGGAATGGAAGGCAACACACTTAGTACAGTGAAAGCAGCCAGCATTTTGGCAGCGAGATGTGCATTTCGCACGAGGGACAAGCTACTATACTTTGAACAAGGCTGAGCTATGCCCAGGGAGCTTTAGAGCACAGGCAGCTCCAGGCCAAGAAGCAAACTTTGTAAACCAACACCCACAGCAACGGGGAGAAAAAAAAAAATCTCCAGGCAAGCTTTTTAAAAGGACTAGTACATCCAGTTATTTTGTCAATAGAGGTTTACACAAACAACTTCGGCTTATGGTTTTACTGCCAACACAACTTCAGTCCTAACCAGAAGTGACACTAAACACGGGAGGGCTGCAAGCCTGCTCCATTTTAACAAAGCTTGCCCAAAGACACCCCATTTACATTCCCACTGACTGGCAGGTATGGAGATTAAACCTGGACAGGGATCCCACTGACAAGGGGCCCAGCAGGATGTCACACATTTCTGTCATCACAGAAACTAGTTATTAAATCCTCAAGTGACTCGTGCTTAGTTAGGGAACAGTCGTAAGCACCCCTGGCACCCATCCATATTACGGACACAGGCCTGCAGACACCACTCCCTCTCTTGACAGGCATTTGTACAAAATGCTAATGTCATGGGCAGCAAACATGAGGAGGACGACGAAGAGCCCTCTGGCCAGGCACACAGCTCCTGGCTCTGAAGCCCAGATGAGCTACGCAGAAAGCCACCAAGCAGCAACAAAAACCATCACCCTGTATTTTTATATATTTTAAGCCAGGCATACACAAGACACATGTAATGATCGAGCCCAGTTAATGTAAGCTGTGCTCGGGGAGACATAGAATCATAGAATGTTTTGGGTTGGAAGGGACCCCTAGAGGTCATCTAGTCCAACCCCCCTGCAGTGAGCAGGGACACCGCTAACCAGATCAGGTTGCTCAGAGCCCCGTCCAACCTGGCCTTGAATGTTTCCAGGGATGGGGCCTCCACTACCTCTCTGGGCACCCCCTTCCAGTGTTTCACCACCCTCATTGTAAAGAATTTCTTCCTTATATCTAGTCTAAACCTACCCTGGTTTAGTTTAAAACCATTACCCCTTGTCCTGTCACAGCTGGCCCTACTAAAAAGATTTTCCCCATCTTTCCTATAGGCCCCCTTTAGGTACTGAAAGGCCGTAATCAGGTCTCCCCGCAGCCTTCTCTTCTCCAGACTGAACAAACCCAACTCCCTCAGACATGCTGCTTTCCTCAGCCCCTGCCAGCCTGAGGCCCCTCTCCTGTGAAACACTGGGCCTGTCCTGAAGCCATGAACAAACCCCTTCCTCCACCAGACCCTGCAATCCCCAAAGAGCTGGAACTTGTATGAAAACACCCATCGGCTCCTGATCTCGATGGCCCTTTTACCCCTGCTAAAAAGGCATTAAAAAAGAAAAACCAAAACATTAGAACACAAAGAAATGAGTCCCACTTAAACCCGCTTTGTCACGACAGCTCACTGCCAGGAAGACATGGCAGCGCTCACCGTTTCAGCAGCGACAGGATGAAACTGGCTGACAGGATTGATCTTTAAATTGGCACGCACCAACCAAGCGGCCGACTGCAGCAGGTAAGCCATGGCCTGGGACATGCCGGTTACAGTCCCTCCTGTCAGAGGGAAGGAGGCCATCACGCCACCCCAGAGGCCTCTGGTCTAGGCCACCCTCTCAAAGTGTTTCTGTGAAGGGCCTGAAGTCATCTCCCTCTCCCTAGACACACAAAAGGACAGCGTGCAACCTGGCACCCTTGGGTCAAGGACACCAAAACGTCTTCCTGGTGCCAGCTGGAGGGCTCCAGCCCTGCTGCAGGAGATGCTCCTGCCTTCCCACTGGCCCAGGGCCCATAGTGCCACCAGCCAAGAGATGGACCCCAGGAGGCAGGAACGAAGACCTCCCTCAGCAACCCCTGAAGCAACGCAGCAGCATTTCACACCACGCTCAATTCACAGAGCTGTAAAACTCAAGGTGAACCATATTCGCTTCATCCCCCCTCCATAACAGCAGCGCTGTCAACAGAAACACAGACGCAGGGAAGTCTCTCCACACCAGAGCTGCCAGCCAGCCCAGTTGTACCAGGGCTGCAGCCACTGCCTTGCCTATGCTGCTCTGTTGTGGGCTTTCCTCGCACACATCACTCAGCTCAAGAAAAAGTCCTCAAGTTCCCCCACACCATGTTATCCAAGGTCAGCAAAACAAGGGGCTAAGCCGCTGCCAACACCCGCATTCACGCGGCTTCATATGCAGGAGCAATAAAAAGGTTTCACAATCGTCGACGGCATCTTCCCCCGAGCCTGCGGCACAAAAGCAGCCGCAAGCCGGAGAGCAGCTGACTTGGAGCCCAGCTGACTCGGAGCCCAGCTGAGCTGCTGCTCCGCCAGCGACGCAGCTCCAGCTCCCGACGCATTTAACCATAATTACATGGGTCAGATCGTCTCTGCCTTGTCACGCCAGCGGAGGGAGAGCCACCGTGCACCCCGCTCTGCACTCACACCACCAGCAACTGGAAGAGTTATCTCACTTCAGCAAGACAACACACACACACAGAGCCAGAATCGTTTAGAAATATCCTCAAGTGAAAGCCTCGAGGAATTTAATCTATGTAACTTCTCAAAACCAACCAAAAAAAAAAGAAACCCAACAAACAAACCTCAAAGGTACTGACTCGATAGCTGCCTTTAAATATTTCTACAGGGAGTAGAAATTTCATAATAGATGGCTCTCGAGGCTGGAGGAGAGGGGTATAATATCATCCAACAGCTGGAACTCGGATTCCGAAAAATGTAAGACAGAATTGAAGAACAATTTCTGCAACTGTGCAAGTAACTAGCCATTGAAACAACTTACGGGGAACTAATGGATTGTCCATTATTGACTTAGACCCAAAAAAGTACTGAATAACATCTTAAACCATAGGTTCATCACCACAAGCCTTCACTGTGTGGGTCAGCTGAGATGATTTCTGCCTCCCAATCCGACCATAAGATCAGTTTATAAACTCAGCAAAAAAGTAACAGATGCAAACAACCAGGGAAGCCCTGGGACAGACTTAAGAAACAGAACTGCATCACTTCCTTTAAACTGCTAAAAAAATTAATCATGCCACCTTCTTTGTTATGCCAATTCGGGGAAACACACATCATACATTTATATCTGAACTTCAGCTACGAGGGCAGCCAAGCAACAGTTCAGCAAGTTCAGTCCGAGGGGACAGGGAAAAGGAGCACAGCCTCCGTTTACCTACGCAGTAGGTTCCTGCACAAGATGCTACTTTGCGGAGAGCAGCGCAGCAATCTTTCACACTACCTGGCTGGCAGCTTGCTTTCAGCTCAACAGTCGTAGAGGTGATGTTTGCAGAAAAGAGCAACAGGCTACTGCCACGTACTGCTAATTTGGGAAAAAATATATGTGTCTGTGTGGTTTTGCTATGTGCATATTAAACGTATAAAAGAGATTAAATATACATATATATTACTGTGTGTGTATACAAACTAAAACATATACGTATTAATATATAATGCATACATAAATATAAGTGTATCTATAGAAATCTACAAATAATGCACATCAATACGTAAAGTGTATATATTTGCAATGAAATCAAAATGCGCACCACCTGTACCTTTCACCATTTACCTACAGCTTAGGTGCTTTTTCACTGCAGTTCAGCTGCCTAGCTTGCACGTGGCCTGCGTGCAGCCTTCCTATTTCTGAAGTTATACTCAAGTCTTCAACAAAAAACAACAGCAGCAGCAAAACAAAGCAGGCAGAAGCAAGAGGCAGGCT